CTGAGATTCTTAGATTCTGAGATTCTTAGATTCATAGATTCTTAGATTCTTAGATTCTGATATTCTGAGATTCTGAGATTCTGAGATTCTGAGATTCTGAGATTCTGAGATTCTGAGACTCTGAGATTCTGAGATTCTGAGATTCTGAGATTCTGAGATTCTGAGATTCTGAGATTCTGAGATTCTGAGATTCTGAGATTCTGAGATTCTGAGATTCTGAGATTCTGAGATTCTGAGATTCTGAGATTCTGAGATTCTGAGATTCTGAGATTCTGAGATTCTGAGATTCTGAGATTCTGAGATTCTGAGATTCTGAGATTCTGAGATTCTGAGATTCTGAGATTCTGAGATTCTGAGATTCTGAGATTCTGAGATTCTGAGATTCTGAGATTCTGAGATTCTGAGATTCTGAGATTCTTAGATTCTTAGATTCTTAGATTCTTAGATTCTTAGATTCTTAGATTCTTAGATTCTTAGATTCTTAGATTCTTAGATTCTTAGATTCTTAGATTCTGAGATTCTGAAATTCTGAATTTAGAAGATTCTGAACTTCCAAGGTTCTGAGATTCTGAGACTCTGATCTTCCAAGATTCTGAGATTCTGAGATTCTGAGATTCTGAACTTCCAAGATTCTGAGATTCTGAGACTCTGTTCTTCCAAGATTCTGAGATTTTGAGATTCTGAGATTCTGAGATTCTGAAATTCTGAGGTTCTGAGATTCTGATATCCTGAGATTCTCAAGTTCCGAAAATTAAGAATTTTTGATTTTCGAAAACTTTTGAATTCGAATCTCAAAAATTGAAACATCCGAAAAATCTTTTCCCAATTTTTACCATATCAAAAATTCGTTATACTCTCCCCTCCAGAAAAAGTGACGTCTTCAGATGCCCCTACTCAGAATAAAAAAGTTCCATCTTTTATGTCTCTCTATCTCTCATTTTCCCTTTCCAACCCTTCTCTTCTTTGTGCTCAATGAGCACATCTCACCTACTCACAAAAAAGTGCTGCTCAGATTTTTTTTTGCTTTCCACCATACTTTTTTTCTGTCAGCTGTCCACTTGTCATCTGTCTTTTCCTGTTTCTTGCTTTTCGTGCTCTGAAGTACTCGAACTTTGAAGAATCAATTCAGAATTTCAGAGCTTCAGAATTTTAGAATTTCAGAATTTCAGAATTTCAGAATCTCTGAATCTCTGAATCTCTAAAAAGTCTGTTGACTCTAAGCTCCATTTTTTGTATTTTCACTACGATTTCCATTTTTTCAGAAAATCAAAAAATGTACTTTCTAAAATATACGAATGTTTTCTGACTGTTATTTTGCTCCACCTTACTAAAAATCGTAAAATGTTTGTACGGAAAAAAAGAAACATTACTAAATATTTTTTGTCCGCTTTTCCATGTTTGAAGAATAGAAGGAACATGGCAAACATCATTTTGTTTTCTTTCTTCTTTTTTCTAAAGCTTTTGCATTCTGAATCATTCTCCCTCCTTTTTTTCTTTTTTGCTTTTTTTTACTTTTCTTCCCGAACGTCTTCTTCTATACAACTTCTGATTCTGAAATTCAAAAATTCTGAAAATCTGAAATTCTGAAATTCTGAAGTCCAGAAATTCTGAGATTCTGAAATTGCGAAATTCTGAGATTCTGAAATTCTGAAATTCTAAAATTCTGAAATTCTGAAATTCTGAAATTCTGAAATTCTAAAATTCTGAAATTCTGAAATTCTGAAATTCTGAAATTCTGAGATTCTGAAGTCCAGTAATTCCGAAATTCTGAAATTCTGAAATTCTGAAATTCTGAAATTCTGAAATTCTGAAATTCTGAAATTCTGAAATTCTGAAATTCTAAAATTCTGAAATTCTCAGATTCTCAGATTCTGAAATTCTGAAACTGCAAAATAAATCTGAACCTCTCTCGATGGCCTACCTTTCTAAAAAAATCGGTTTTCTAGACCATTCAGTCCAATCTCATCAATCTCAGTTCTCAAACTTTATTTTTCAAAAAAAAATCTAGGTGCTCTTTCCCTTGGGATCCAAGACAACAAAAAGAAGTTTGAAAACTCAATCTTTTGGCTCTTTTTGTGCTCCAAGAAGAGCCATTTCAAAAATGCTCTAAAAGTGAGAAAATTGGGCAAAAAGAAAATTTTTGGAGGCTCGAATTTCTTTTAAAAAAAGAGAGAAATAGGCTTGAATTTCACACTTTAAGGACATTTTCAAGTGAGAAATCTACAATTTTTCCCGATTCCCAAAATTTCTGAAAATCCGATTTTTGAAAAATCTGGAAAAGTTATTTGAGATTTTCATTCCTCTTCAGGTTCTTTACCCTGAAATCCGATATCTTTGTTGTTTTATATATTTTTCACGTCTTCTCTTTCTCTCTCTCTCTCTCTCTCTCTCTCTCTCTCTCTCTCTCTCTCTCCATTTCCTATGAAAGTAGCAAAAGCAAAAAAAAAACCGAGTAGGTGAGAAAAAGGAGAAATTGAGCCACGGATTTTTTGTCTCAATCTCTAAACGTCTTATATGGAAAGAGAAAGAGAAAGAGAGAGAGAGAGAGAGAGAGAGAGAGAGAGAGAGAAAAGCGGCGGCACAACTCAAAAATGGCACTTTTTTGCTACATGTAACATTTTTGACACACATACACCCACAGAGTTTTAGACATTGACACATCGTTTTGGAGAAAATTTCGGGCTTCTTTTCTTTCTCTATTTTTTCCG